CTCCTCCCACTTTTTACATAAATCAGTCAAATCGAGGTGAAGCGCAAAGAAGATATTCACGTTTATCTGGCGGACATCAATACACAGAGCTGAGGAGGGAGTGACTGATGGCAAGAATTTATTGGTGAACGTCACTTTAACCTGCAGAAGGACAGATTTCTCCAACTTGTTGGAGTTCACAGTCAGGGTCTGCCTGTCTGAGCAGTTGAGAAGTTGAACAGCTGCTGATTAGAGAGGTGACCGAGACGGTCAAAATAAAGACAAGGACATAGGGGTTATTGTATCGTTTATCATTTATCACGATAAATTTTGATGCCACAAATTCCAATTACTGATGTTTTGAACCCCCAAAACTGTCCATATTATCATGATCGATGATTTTTCTATTTTCTCCACCATTTGCTCACGAAAAGCATCAGTAAATTTGAAAATACAGCTACCTTGTGAAGCTTAGTGACACAAATCACTTCTTTACGTGTCTAGTGGGTATCTTGTTCAAGATTAGCATTTGTGTTTATAGGACTACAATTGCTGTATCTTGTCTTACATTACTACCTAAAAAAGTAGTAATGTATAGTTATTGTAACTTAATGTTATCTCAGTAGTACCACAAAATATTATGATAAAGCATTAAGTTTATATCACCCATCTCTGTAAGAATTTTCAAGAAACATGAAAGATTAGAGAAAGATCCATAATATGTAGAAATTATGTAACGATACCTTCAGTATTTATCCGTTTGGTTTGAAACTCAAAGATATCCATAATCACCCTCTTAATAGGAAGATGTAAAAATCTGGTGTTTTTATTTTATTTGCTAAACTTGGAGTAACTGTATTTCCAGGCTCATGCAGAACATTTAAGAACAATTAGTCATGGCGCACGGCTAGTTGCTGAAGTTACAGCAAAGCTCATGGAGAGAGAAAAGAATACACATAATAAAAAATAAAACTTCAAAGCAGAATGGTCAGAGCCTTTATTGGTTGAGTGTTCAGTCATGCCTCATTTGAATCCCCCCCTCCTCTCTGTGGCGGCCTAATCCGGAGGGATGCCTGGAAGGCCAGGCCGGCCAAGGTCCTGTCCCCCACTAAGTATGGGCAAGCTAGAGTGTTGTCCTCTTCACAGCTCTGCTCACTTTACCAAGACATATCACTCTCAAAAAGTTATGAAAAAGTGTCTATTTTTTCAACATTTGCATATTCTGCAATGTTACACGTACAAACTTTAAGAGATTTTATTTGTATGATGTGATGGACCAACACAAAGAGCATTGATGTGAAGCAGAAGAAAAACAAAATGAATGGGCTTTCAAATATGTCAAGTAAATGTTTGTGTGAATTTGCATTTAGCCCCAGAAGCACACTCTGTAGAACTATGTGCTGATGTTGCTAAGTGAGCATCTGGAGACTAAACATTGCTCGTTAAACTTTGAGAGAGCAATGTGGGATTTATGACTAGACTTTGACTGGAACCTTCTTACACACTGATCCGCCTTGATCTCCACTGTAGTTCAGGTTGCATGTTTTGTATCACTGTCCTGTTTGAAGGTAAACCATTACCAAAGTTTGGTTTACCTTTGGTAAACCAAAGCTGTAAGTCTTTTACAGCTGCCAACTGGTTTTCTTTCAGGATTGTGGTTTCTGCAGGTTTCACCAACTCAAATTTAAGACTTTTTTTAAGACCGTTATGGATGGAATTTAAGACATATACATGTCAAAAGAAATGTACAAAAATTTGTCCAACCAACTGACGATAAATTTGCACTTACCCAAGATAGATGCAAGAATGCTGGCTTGCTAGTTAGCTAGCAAGGGTATGTAAGTCATGCCCTGCAATGGAGATGGTTGCATGTGACCAAAACATTTGCTGGACAGAAAAGTCCCGCTTGAAAGGCGTACATGGAATAAACACGATTAAATAGTCTTGCAAAAACAAAATTTAAGACCTGTTATTAATGTATTTAAGACCAACCTACAGCTTTCAATGAATTTAAGACATTTCAAGGCCTTAATTTGAGATAGATGATTTTAAGACGTTTTTAAAGATGCATGGACGCCCTCATCTGTCTGATGTCTTCCCATCAACTCTGACAGGTTACCCCAATCTGCTGGGGAGGAAATGCTAAGCGCTGTTAGCAGGTATGCAGGGAGACGGCGAGTGACGGAAGCATCGCCAAGAAAGACAAAAAAAGATAAAAGTGTGGGATCACTTGAAACTAAATAAAAAAATAACACAGTTTGGGACGTGTAGTGCAAAACAGAATTTAAGTGTCACAATAGCATGTCGTGAAATATCCACTACATGCTCATTGAGGTCACAGGCGATGTTTTGATTCTCCTTGGGGAAAAAAACAAACTAATTTATCTGTGACTATTAGTGTAGAAATTAGCTTGTTATAAGGAAACATATTTTGATTAACATTGCATGAAGAATAAGGAAGTGAAAAAATAAAAATTTGATAATCGGTTCTTATACATGATATATTTTATTTTTAAAAAAGTATTTTAGCTTTTTTTATTTCTCATTCGTTTTTACATTTAAAAAAAGTTTTCATACTTTACATACAAACTTGAGTCTAAAAGTGATGTTTATGTGGCACTGCATTTTAAACAGTAAAATATCTTCTTATTAAAGTAACCAAAGAGTGTTTTTTCTCTCACATGTTTATTTTACTAGCTTAAGTAGGTACTACACCACAATATTTTATTTGCATACGCAATTGTCAGAATAATCTATAGATTAATTGATTAATAAAATCCTCATTTGCGTTAAACTTCTCAACAGTTATACATCAGACCTTTCTCTGTTACTTGGTTCTTCATAATCAATATTTGTTTAACAAATGTTCTCCAATACTCTGAAACCTTCACAGATAAAATGTAGATTTAAAAAAAAGTGGTATGAATAATTCTGCACAGTATGTGGCATCATCTAAGTCTGTAACGGAAGTCGAGTTAGTGTTTTACAAATCCCAATAAAAAAATAAAAAAAACTTTATCCAAAAACTACATCATAACAAAAAAATAATAAAACTTAGCTCCTTAGCTCTGATCAATGTTACAGCATAAGATTACCATTTGAGAGAATATAGGATGTTTTTCCACACCTCTGCCTCCTACATGCCTTTTAAAACTGTCTCTGCAGCTATGTTCAAAGCCCTGATGTAAAAATTACTGATGGTGTGAATGACTGATGAGGTCAATCTATACCGAGTTGCAGTCCCCAAAGACCACCTACACTGCATAGGCACCAGCCACCATCTGCATGCTCATTAACACAAGCAGCAGTGGAGCCTTTAAGCTGGTTATTAACAATATCCAACTATAAAGAGTGTATTCTGCAGCAGAAAGAGGATGCTTTAACAAAAACAGAGGTATTACAGATGAATCTAAATTATTCAAACCCATGTGCAAATTCAATATTGGACAATAAGCAAATTACCCAAGAAAAAAAAGAAAGAAAAGCAAATAGAAGGATTTTATCCATACTCAGCACTAAATTATATTTTCCAACAGCCTCAAAATTATTCAACTCCCTGAGCAGATTTCCTTGTAAGAGCACAAAATTACAAATGAATTGTTCCAGCGCTGCTTGAAGAAAGACTCTTGACTGCAACATTTCACTGCATGTTAGGAATATGGTCGAAAAATTGTCCAAGAAGTTCAGTACGCCATTAAATTGCCAAAACAAGGAAAAATGATTCAAAAAGTCCCTGAAAATCCCCTAAAATTTTACCTGGAAGTGGCAGAAAGAGGAAGAGGAGGTGGATAGTTGAAACACTGACTTATTAGTTCTGTAGCAAGACTTACTGCCTGCAGTGAAGCACGGTGATGGCTCAGTGACGCTCTGTGGCTGCTTTGGAGAATTTAAGTGAATGGTAGATGTTTGCTCATGGGTGAGGCGCAAAAACCCAGAACTTAACATTGTCATCATGAAGGGATTGAATAGTTTCAATTTAGAAAACTCTTCCTGATTGATTGATTGATTGATTACAAACAATAATAAATCAATTAATGTTGATTTATTGCCAACTATACCAATTCCATTACCAGAAATCGGTATAATTAGTCAATTGTAGACTTAGAAGGTAAAGGTTTAACAAAATAATAAATGCATTTCATAATTTTCTCAGCTTTACTCAACAATTTTGTGCTTCAATATATTAAAAAACACAAAAGTAAAACAACACCGTTTGCTTTCAACATGGTGGCAAAATGCACATCATCATCTGGATCCATGATGATCAACAGTAAAACAATATTACATTACATTAGGTTGTGTGCTCTGCAGATACTGAGCAAAGTGTCAGTCTGCTGTGTGAAGTTACATAACAACTGGAGTAGGCAAAGACAGGAAGGGTGCCTTCCACATCTAAACCAAAAGAGATTTAACATGATGGAAAATTTCAGTACCAATTCATATCTGAGGGTTGATTTGTTTTTCTTTTTTTTTTTTTTTTAAACCATGATATTTTTGAAGAAATTAACATTTACTGAATAGACTATTCTAAAAGAAACTAAGCTAGTAAAATGCTACTAAAGTTAATCACAGTTATACAGGTCATAAGGTCACGAAATGCACACACACAAAGAACTGCTTGTACTGTAATAAACATCAGCTCATTCTTTAAACACCCTGCATTCAGGCTTCGCTAATAATACACAAGGTGACACAGACGCATCGATGTGGGTATTTGGGCAGATGTCAATATCTGATATTAATAATATTGTTATGTTGACCTTGATACAAATGTTAAGGTCAATCTGTCATGCAGAGGAACTGATGGCATAAAAAGTAAGCTGGTCAAGTAATGAAGGAACTGTAGTAAAACTAAATATATATGAATATATCAAGTATTCTTCATAAAAATATTCCCTTTGTCCCAGACAAACCAAAATATTTATATTCTTGTCAATCAGCCCTTCAGATAAAACCAATGGAAGCTGTAAATATTATTATAATTGATAAATCAAGCTGAGGCAAAGATTAAAAGTACTTACAGTGTGAGCACATCTCCAGGGGGTAACTGGCTTCATTTCCCTGAGAAATAAAGAAAGAAAAAGTTAGCCAAAATAATACTGAAAGTTAAGCTTATAGTTCAAACGGTACGCTTTCATTTTATACATTTCTTGCCTCTTCACTTGTTGTTCAAGATGTAAAAACCTCAGATTTAATTAAGGTGGTTAGACTGGCAGATGTTGAAGCAATCACATGCCCTGCTGATTTTACAGTTCATTTGGTAAACCCTGGTACACTGAACCATGCAACAAAAGGGGAACATTTGCTTTATACCAAAGATTGATGAACAGGGTGGTAATATTTCCTGTTAAAAAAAAAAAAAAGATAGGGTATACAGTTCAACCCATTTTATTGATTTGGAACCTATATAATAGGTACAAACTAAAGTCAAACAATGGAGAGCAACGCTTTAAGTGGTGTGAAAAGTTATTTTTTCAGTTTCAGATAGTTTGCTTTTGCTCTAATTAGGTTCCCTGCGGGTGCTTTGTCCTCTTCACTTCACTATTTGAACCACAGAAACATGAAACTCTAATTTGAGTTAGTCACTTTATTAGTTACTTGGACAAAGAAATATAAACTTTACTTTTTAATCAACAAATAATCACTGCAACAGCTTTATTATTCCCTAGCATCTGTGTGTAGTATTTCACTTTTTTTCTACATGCAAATGTACATTTTTGGTGCAATTGTGCGTCAGAAAAACATGATCACACACAGACGAGGCACATGCTTTTCATAAGAGTAGCATCAACAAGTCTGATGAGAATATAAATAATGTGTTTACCACACTATGTCATCTTTACCCTGCAGTTTAATTCAATTAGCTCAATGAATGTGTCACTATTAACACATCCTATAGATATACTACACCAAGGTAATTGTGTCAGCTCAGTGCAACGTGAACTGGCAATGTCCCATTTCTGTAATAATGCTACACAACTGCCATCTGCTTTGGAATGTTTTACATACAAGACGAGTGCTCAAACATTTTCTAACATCTATTTCATCCTTATGGGGTGGCTTAAGGCAAACTTTACAAGCCTTTTGCTTTCAGAAAATACAGTTTTCAAATAGTTATGAAATTGTGAAAGTACAAAAACATCTTTGCCGTTTTACAACAAGTTTTGTCTGGAAAAAAACAAAACATTCGAAACCACAGCCACATAAAACATTATTAAATGTGTGTAGTTATTATTAAACATTAACTGTTAGTGATCATGTGTGCAATTTCTTACAAAAATTTAAAAAAAATTGCTAGTAGTTCTGAATGCATTTGTAAGATGGATACAGTACATTAATAGTAATAGCATTTTGTTGGAAAGCACTGCTGATAAGATTCTTTGTATTCAGACAGGTTCTAACAGGTTTGATGTGCTGAAAGGTGATCATTCCAGCCCTTTGGCATTTTGCACTGGAAACCTTAAAGACTTCTGCTACGCAGCGTTTGGTATCAATTAATCTGAAATGCCTTAATGTGTCTTTCAATACATTTCAACAAATTCAACTGCTTAAAACTGTCATGAGGACACCAGTGTCCCTGTGAACCCATTGACTTCCAGGTAGGTGTATTTGGGGTTACAGTTACAGGATTATATATTGATGGTTTTTCAAAGCCAAGTACTTATACTGTACCCAATCTTAAGGAGCAAGACCGAGGCTCTCGACAGAAATAACATTTTTGTGAAATTCTGGCTCATGTTCAACCTTCACATCAGCAGCATCCCCATTACATTCGACTGCAGTGTCAACTAAGGTGGTCGGATAATTGGCAGAGTGAGACCAAACACTTTTGTGTGGAAGCCAATGAGAAAAGCCTTTACTAAAGTGGTAGAATTGATAGGATGCATTCCCGAAGCCAAGTAAGAGATCCAACAGGCCAGGGAGCAATCGATCGCTCCTCCAAGGATTGCCAAAGCAAATTTCTATTTGCCAAATCTGCAACAAAGTTGAACGTTTCTATCAGTTAAGTCTAAAGAAGGACAACATTTTGTTTCAAGACATCAGCTCCCCACTCCAGCTGAACAGTCTTTTGAACGATTTTACTCAATGGTCCACAATCAAGTAACGTTTGAACCAACGTAAATGCCAAAGCAGTTCAAATTAACAAAAACAGAGTCAAAAAGTTGTCATATCAGCTTAACTCTGTGCTGTAACAAAGAGGAAGGGTTTGCCACACACAAGTTGAGGTATTTTAAGAGCGACAAGGAGAAAGAAGTGAGACGGGATTAACCAGGAGAGCGCCTTAGCATTTGACACCCTAAAGGGAGAGTGGAGTCAGCGCAGAGATCAATGGTTGACATGTACATGGTTTTCCTCTGAAACTGCTTCACATTGGTTGAGCACAGCCAGTTCAAGAGAGGGAAGTTTTGGAGTAGCTCGACTGGTGCTGCACAGCACTGCTAGTATCGCGTTTGGGTGTCTTTTTGTCGTCGCTGTCCTGTCATAGTGGCAATGTGATACTTTATTGATCTGAACAGGGAAAAGTCCTTAGGTTTGTTATTTTTCTCCCTGCTGCAGAGCTCAGTAAGCTACAATATCCTACATTTCTACAAGGACAACGGATGAACTCTTACAAGGGAAGAGCACCAAGAGTGATTCATTATATGTCATGTAATTTTAATAAAGCTTTAATCATAAGCTAAAAAACACAGAGGTTAAATAAGCATTGGGTAGCTTGACTCTTAACTACAACCCAGACGTTCATTCTCGTTTAAATGCAAACTGCAGGGTCTCTGCAGGTAAAGAGACTTAGGGCAAAGGAGATTTGGTTTGAGGGATTACAGGTTTATTGACCAAGGCGTTAGTTCCTTTCTGTGGCCATCAAGGAGTAACTCTTGCTATGTCTTCCTGTGACAAACCATTTCATTGCACTTGATGCTCAGATGGGATAAAAGGCATAATAATAATTTTAAAAAAAGAAACAAAGGAAAAAAGCATGAATTTCTTCCCTGTATACATGGAGAGAAACAGCAGCAGGGAGGGATGGACTAGATTGCTCATCAATAATGCATGCTTCATTCAGAATCAATTAGACCAATGCGCACAAAACACGTTTTGCATAATGAAGAGTCTGGCAAAGTGGCTGGTTCAGTAGCAACACTGCAGCCGACCCAAAAACCCGGCTAATTATAGATCTGCAGGACTCGTAACATGAAAGGCTATTACAGTGCATGCGGCTGCAGAGCTGAAGTACTTTTCTGAACCTTTGTGTTCTCCTCTTTTTAAAAAAATAAAATAAAGAAAATTGGCAAATCAAAATTGCAGGAAATAAGTGACTACCAGCAAGTTGTTTCATCCTTTTAATAGATTGTGCTATAAAGATACAGAAGCATTAGTCATCAAATATTCCAATACTGTCAAAGAAATCAAACTGTTTACCCCAACTGGGGTCACGGTAAAATGAACTACAACATGAACGGGGGGATGCTTGATTTTGACCTCTCAGCAATTTTATTTGCTTCCCCCTTAAAGAACTGATATTATGGGTTGCATAAAATGTGTTTCCCTTAAGTTGTTTGCCCTAATAACTAAGACACGTTTACTTTGAAAGTACATTTATCTAATATTTTGCTCCATTACTTAATGTCCCTGCAAAAATGTCCAACTATAAATAGCACATAGACATGGATATTGTTGATCAAGTAGGATGTTAGAATGTGATAACCTCAGGTTGTAGCTCCACATCCCATCTTAAGATTTAACACTTCCAGGTCCTTGTGTAATAAAACTAAAAATGGTTAATGGCTGTGGAAAGGTACTTTTTTACTGTAAAAGTTAATGGAAAAAAACCTGGAAGTAAAAGAAAAAAATCGTACTTGTCAAAAACATGAATAAAATGCAGTAGATACACAAGCACAACGCTTAGAAATCATTGTACAATAAACAAGGAGAAAGTCATCAATTAGTCTCCTAATCTAATCGTTGGTGCTCTGTTTATTGGTTTGAATGGAATAAGACACAATGGGCAAGACCACACAATGCATCTCAACTGCGGTAGGAAAATGTTCCACTCCTGTCTCAGAAATCCGCCTCAGTTACCTTTCTAAAGCGCTATTAAAGTACGATTACAATGTAGACGTGAGGGTTGCCAGTATACTTGTTTAGTCTGGCTCACAGTTTTCAAAGTTACACAAATGAAGCATTTATGGTCGAGTACCAGCCTGATACAATTACAGCACAGCCAAGGAAAACAAAGTCAGAGGCAATATGTTTGGGGAAACCCAACTTTTACATTTCTCTGTAATATTCCTGCACAATATTACGACACGATACCAACAAGTACTGTTTACCAACAAGTACGTACTGTAGGTCCTAATATGCAAGGCTGATATGTATACCATCTGTTTTGTACTCAAGTGAAGTAAATAAGTTCCGACTTAAAACCACAACATTCATGAGAGCTCAAATTGATTTGTTTAGAATTTTCTCCCGGCTCATTTCTCTCGATCAGGGATCACAGAACTACACGCCGCCCCCACACAACCATGTCTGAGAATATCAAGCTTACGGGAGAGCTTTATGATAGACTGAACCAGTTAAAGAGTCAGAGCAGATATGGGCTCTCTGCTTTTCTTTAAACAGAAGTTACTTTTACCGTTTTTCCTCTTTATACAGATGGGGGGGGGACACAGAAAAACAAGCAGCAGGGAATTATAGCCGTTAGCCTGTCTGAATAAATGTTTAATCTCACAGGTTAGCAACATAACCAAGAACCTTTTCAGAAAGGTTTTTGGTTATGCAAATTCTCCCCTCCGGTTCAGTTTCTGAGCCTGATGTGTGGATGTGTTTTCAGTGTTAAAGTCTCTGTTAGTGGATGTATGTGTGATTTCTCTGTGTTAAGCTGCAGCAGTTTTAGGAGAAAATATAAAAAAATAATTAGCACAATCTGAGCTGCCTGAAGGAACCCCAGCTCTCAACCGTTACTTGGCCTGACTCAAGCCTTTGTACAAAGAGTTTAAAGCCCTCATAATGCTGTCAACCAAACAACCAGCTGTCTCAGTCAAGTTACGCATCAGAGTATC